ACTCACTTCAGGGCATCTAGTGTAATAAGCCATAATTACCCAATTATCCAAAGAAAAAAATACTTCACAATAACTCCTACACATAATTTCCCAACAGCGAGCAAGAGATTACCATAAAATAGCAGCCTGCCTCTGGTGAACATTTAGCAGTCTCTCACGTGAAAAAAAAGCAGAATTACTTGCTATGACTGCAGGTTGGAAAAATTGACCTGAAATGATAGTGAAATGCCTATACCATACACATCACAAAACTAGTCTCGACTCCTGAGAAGGGTTGTAATTAGTCTGCTGTATACTTTTTTTTTTTTTTTTCAGATGTACCAAATGTACCCTGAGAAGGGTTGTAATTAGTCTGCTGTATACTTTTTTTTTTTTTTTTCAGATGTACCAAATGTACCAAACAGGTTGAACAGTTTTTGGGTAGGACAAGCATTTGAAAACCTTGACAGATGTGAATAAAAAACGTATATATTCTAAAGTTAATTTGATTTGGGACCAATCATCTTAAGGGTATATTTAAAATCTTTATGGAATATTTTTAAGATGTCTTTTTTCTTCCCCTTATTTCCATCACTCTGTCTTTCTGACTCTCTGCAGATAGACCTCATACAACAAACTAAATAACACCCATTATTTCATAGCTTTTTCAACATCATTTTATCTTCAAAGAATCAATTATGTCCTTAATGCCTTGCTAACACATCCAACCACTTCAATCAAATCAAATTCAGGTTGCTATAAAAAGACACAATCACACTTCACTAAATGTACTGCATTTTCACCTCTTTGATGATTTTTTTTCCTTTTTAAAAGAATGGTTTGATCTGGTTAGCATGAAAGCCTAGCATCTGTTGCAAAAGTCGATATGAAAAGGCATGTGTATAATATCAGCCAATTCAGAGTTTCTATGCATTTTCCATATGTATTTGGCTGATGTTACATTTGTGATTTTTTTACTCTTTTTTCTTTTCTTAATGTGCTGTTCAACATTAGGGGTTAATGCCTAGAGAAACAAAACACAATAATCAGAATCTCCCCCATGAAGTAAAGTAGACATATATTTATCTTACATCATATGTAAATAATTGATAACACTCTGTAAACTATTTTGCTATTAGCAAATAAATATTATGGATTCATTCACGTATCTGCTATTAAGGTTGCCTACTGTTTGCATTAATGCATATTCTACCCATTTTTCATAATAAATTCCCTTTATTTTTTTGTATTTTTAATAACATGTAAACCAACAGATCTAAGCATGGAGTAATTTTCTGTTGGCAATCCTGATCCAAGATTTTGAATTAATAAAAAAAAAAAATCACCGTTTCCTGTCAGTCACAATTTGTTCTGTGAACTACAAAAAAAAAAAAAAAAAAAAAAAAAAAAAAAAAAAAAAACCACCATATGGTACTGTTATAATGCACCTAATAATCAATATGGCCAGCTGTTTCTTATAAAAAAAACAGATCATAACTTGAACCAGGATGGATAAGTCTGCAATGCAGATATCAGTCCATTTCGCACAAAATGAATGCTTCACAATGCAAAAAGGAAAGTGAAAGCCCTCAAATGAGCACTGAATACTATCACTGACTGAAGTTGGTTTAATGGTTGGTTGACACTGAACAAGTATATTCAATAGCTCAAGAGGAAACCTGATTAAATTCATCATGTGCTAACAATGTTACATTTTTTTTTCATTATAAAGATAGTTGCCCTCCTTGGACAAGAATCTGTCAGTGATTTAACCTTTATCATGAAATATTTCTCATTTACTTTTTGATCTTCCTTCCACCCATCTCTCTCTCTCTCTCTCTCTCTCTCTCTCTCTCTCTCTCTCTCAATAATTTATTTTCCTGCCCTTCCTATCCCTTCTACTCTCATAAGCTCCCAAAACATATCCTATTCTCCGCACCTTGTTTTGAAATCATTTCTCCACAATTACCTCAGAGTAAGTATAAAAACAAGACAGGCATTTTCCTCTCAAGAACTTCAGCAGTAAGTGAATATATTTAGCACTTACGCTAAATGTAACATTTAAGAGCAAGTCTGGTGCACTGGAATCTGTCTGAAACACCAAAGATCATTTTCCACTGAAAAGTGGAAGACCTTTCCATTAAAACACCTCAGCAGGAATAAACAGGTGCTTGTATACTAAGGGGGGGAACAGGTTCACCTCAGGGCTAAAAAGTGGTTGTCTAGTACCAGGGGGTGTTCACACAGGTAAATCATTTGGACCGATATGGTTCCAGAACAGGGTTGCTCTGAATATCATATTCGAAGATCACAGCCCATTTTCACTACAGACGTAATAATTGAAATTTGGGATGTACTTAAGTACTGAGAATTTTTTACTGCTTCAATTCGATGAATTCATTCTAGTTCATTGAAATAAAAAAGTTTTAGGGCACATTCAGATTCAGACATTGATCCAACTCTGCAGGGATTCACACTAGAGTATAATCAATGTAATCAGCTTAATTGTCTGACAGCGTGTCAATCTCTACAAGTCAAGGGATAATTAAGCTGAGCTCACAAAAAAAAAAAAAAAAAAAAAAAAAAAAAAAAAAAAATTAACTCCCTAGCCTCTTAATTCTGACTTAGTCCAGATGGATTTTATGAAACCTGCTCTGCTTACCCTGTGTAGAATAGCTAAATGGAGTTACCGGTTCTTGGTCAAATTTTACCAAGTTTTTAAACCCTGGGGTACATGGAGCCAATGTCAGGCCTGACTCTTAAACTCAACACAAGGAAAATAGCAGTGACTGGTCCAGGGTTATATGTAGGAGAGAGTATTTTGATTTTTATAGCCCCCCTCTCAAAGTGTTATAATTTTGGTCATTATCCAAAGCCTTTATAGGTACATGTATGTTGTTCCCAGTTTCCTCTATCAACAGACAAGGACTGAATCTACCTTTCTTTTTTTAAATTTTTTTTTCTTTTTTTTTTTTTTTTGGAGGGGGGGGGGGGCTCCCAGAGCCCCTTCCCCCTCCCCCAAATATATAGGTCCATCACAACTTATCCTGGATTTCCATGACACATTGTGCAATCTGAAGAATGGTAGTAATCATGAATAATCTTGACAAAAATATCTATGAAATAATCCTTGAAGGAAGATTATCATAGAACATAGAAAAAAAACAGATAATGTATAAAAAAGATAACAAATATCCCCCAATTTTGTCTAGAAAATCTATGTTATAATGCCCATAACATGCACGCAAAGTTGAATGTCTTTGCACATTGCTGAATTGAGTTTTGCTTATCCATTTTATCTTACCTTTTCCATTTACAATCTCCATTTCTATCTTCCATCAAACAAATAATGCAATTATCTTCCATTAATTTCTCCAAAATAGCAGCATGTGTCTGCTGATTTATAACAACAGTCTTTTCCTTCTCTCTCCTATCAATTCTCAATGATTTCTTTTACCACAAACCCTTTCCACTTTGAACCGAGTATTCACACAAGTCAGCATTAAATGCGATTACATGTCTAAACATTTCATGCCAAATATTTCTCAGCTTTGCTCGAGCATGTGGCTATCACCTATGAGACTCTCAATGTGCTCAAATGATGAAAAAATCAATGGGGTGTTTGAGGCATTATGTTCATAACTGGCTACTTCTGTCATTGATAACCTCTGTTCATGTGAGCAGGATGTTTAGTTTGCTGTTCTGAGATAAGACAAATTTTATTTCACTTGGTTCTAGTTATAAGATAAACCATGACAGTGTTGTTGATAGCATCTGCCACATAACACCAACGGCAAAGGAAAATGATTTTAGATAAAAATTCAATATAATTTTGTTGCTAATATAGTTGGATCCTTCTAAGAAAAAGCTTAGCATACTGATAAAAACAAAAAACATTGCTGCAGGAATTTTAAAAAATAGAAAAACACAAGAATTATAAAATATTTAGATATAAGAGGCAGCTGTAAGGGAAGGGATCAGGGGAAGGGGAAATTGTGATTATTGAGACACGAGTTCACATCCTGACACAATCACAATTCCAGGCAATTCTCAACTGATGCAATAATCAATTGCAAGTTTTTGTTAATTTTATTACTCAGTTGTCACTTCAGCAGGAATCCATCTCATTATTTACCAAACTCTTTTCACAATAAGTGTCATTCGGCTAAGAGCTGCATTATGGCATAGCTCAAACTACTAACGGAGCAGCTAAAATTCTCTCATTGTGAAGGAGCCTATATTGTCTACGCATGCAAAATAAACCACATCCTGGTTGCAGGTCAGGTATGAAAATCAACATTTCAAAAATGAAACATTGGAAATGTCATTTCATCGATTACAGAGATAGGCCTATGTCTACATAAAAAAATATATATATACATATACAGAAGAACACATTTACTTTATGAAAAACAACATTTTCTTATTTGTTCTGGAAAAAATGATAAAATCATTATGTCAATGACAGCTATGTGATATGGAGAAAAATGACAATGCACAATAAGCATACCAAAAAAATTCATTATGTACATATATGATATAACACATAAACACATATATAGGGGCCTATATGTACAGTAGAAAATCTGAGTCCTGGTCAAATCAACAAGACAAAAATTGCAGCAAGTTGGTAAAAAGCATGACAGGGATTAAAACTACACGCAGGGATGACACTGCCATTTAGTGCAAAATTCGTAAAATATGGCCACCTAGGCCAATGTTTTTTTTGTTTCCAAATAGTCACAAATCTGCTAATAGTCAGAAAAATCTCATCCCTGTACAAGATAAGGAAAAATTCTACAATAGGCTCTTTAAGAACGCATTCAGACCAGTGGACTAACAGATCCACAGATCAAATATGGTGACCCACTAAAAAACTTGCCACTTAATTCCTACTTAGGCACTGCTTAAGATTCCCTCGTTGGGATTACACAACAAGCATTCAAGTGGGTCAACCATATCTGATCCACGGATCTGTTAGTCTGCTGTTCTGAGTGCGCTTTAAGGAAAAATGACTGTACTTACTCCATGCACTTGAAACACATGGTGTGGTATATGAACCTCTGAACGGACACCCTGTCCTCTCCAACGGCGAACCCGCATGCCTGGCAACGGTCACCAGGGACTCTCGGAGAGTACGGCCAGCTCTGGCGACTTCCTACGAGATTCATACTGTCGCTCTCCTTGACAGTCTCCGCAATCTCAGAGTACACCTGACTTGCACTGTCAGAACTGACATTCAATTCGTCAATGCTGGCGTAGATGTCTTCTTCATCGCAGTCAGCATCGTAACTTTCATCTAGAATAGAGAAAAAAGCAAACTGTTGAAGTGGAATATAATAACTTTGTTTAATGAATACAATTAACCACCGTACCATAATTCATTTGTATGTGTGCATGCATGCACATGTGCATGTGTGTGCACTATATGCACATACACATATAATTTCGTTCACACAAATAATCATAACTTCACGAACATTTCAGTTAATCACTCAATTCATCATTCAGACATCATAACTGTAGATAACCTTATTTAAAATAGTCTCTAGCAATTTTTATCTGAAATTAACAGGTGTCTTGACAAGATCTAAAATTTCCAATCAATCATTCTGGATATAATTCCATTGCAATTAGACTGATTCTCAGTCTATTTACACAACACTTAACCCCAGCAGTGAACAAAACAACTGCAAAATATCCATTGCTCTATATTGTTTGTGCTAATAATTTTTGTCAATTTTTGTTTCATGGGGGCTTGGTGCTAGGCCGTGGTAAAGCCCCGAGGGATAGTAGTGGTCAATACTTATAATGGACATTGGGATCAAGGAGGAAGCAGGACCTAGACTACCTGAGGTCAATACAGACAGAGGCGTCAAATACATTAGGGTCCAGACAGGGTGGACCCCTCATATTGTAGCTTTTAAACATATTCTGTGCAATTTTAAAATGAAATTTAAAACTTAATCCATAAGACAGTGTTGTACAGTCAAGGATATGGCTCTCTTGATAAAAAAAAATTGCTAAATGATGCAGATAATTAATTCTTTTGATTTTGTAGCCCAGAGGTACCCATGACCAGGCCAAGGAGATAATCAATGGTTATTTGAATATCCACTATTTTGACATACCTTGTCTGAAACTGCTCAAAAATGTTCACTAAGAAAGTTGTCTGTATTGTCACAAAATTTCCATATTTTCACTGCTTATCAAATCTTGTCAGTTTTTATAGTATTTCCTTCAGCCAAGCTATACAAGTAAGAGTAATATATCAAGTAGAAGTTTAACATTTTACAAATTTCCAACTCAGTTTTTTGGGCTTAGTTCTCTGAGTGTATGAAACCAAGACCAAAAAGGGATAAAATAAGTGCTGCACTGCTTTAAAAAACCATCACTTTGTAAAACAAGTAAAGATTAAATATACAAATACAAAAGCTGTATAAAACACTTAAGTCAAAAAGGTCTCAAGTGCAATCGATCTCATTTCTTTTATACACACACAATTCCTAGAGAGAAAATTCTCCCTTGTGTCCGAAAGCTCTTCAAAGAAAGGGCTACAGCTAACAACCATCAGAGTTGTTATACAACTAAAAGCATCCAAGAAAGAAGAGACAGCCTGCTAAGAAAATAACACCACTCTATAACAATAAAACTACCTCTCAATTTCCTGAATTTCCCTGGGACCTCCAAGGAATTGCGATACTCAATTTGATACTGTTTCTTCATCTCCAGGGAAAGCTTGTATTTCTTTCTAATCAGTTTAGCCCACAAATTCATATCCGATGAAGACAAGTGTAGGTCTAATTTACACTGGCTTCGCTCACCAACTGAAAACAACATCCTTTTCGTCCAACTTGTGGTTACTTTTTTTTTCTTTTTGCTTTTCTTATCTCACACCAAAATACAGGCCTTTTTATCAAGGACACAAAAGGAAAAGCCTGTAAAACTGATACACATTGGCTTGAAATCTACCCAACCTAAATTACGATTAAGGAAGTCTGCCTAAAATAATCACTTGATCATATTTTCATAGTTATTCAAGAGGTTTACAAATGTTAAGAATAACAAAGTAGATCAATGATCGCTCTCTCAAACACACACGTGAATGATGCACATGCACATCTACCACAAAGGCATGCATATTCACAGTACACATTGTGTATAAATGCGCTATAAACTGACAGTAAACACCTGAAAACTATGCCAATTGATACTGATAAAATGTAGAATAGGCATAGGTCACCAATATGTCTTAATTATGTCTCTCTTAGGGCTCATTCCCAAGGAAAATATCATTCTATGTAGATTGATCTAACTCCACGGGGTCTCTAGTTAAATGCAATCAGATAAAAATATTAACACATATTAAGTAGAATAAAGAAAAGCTGGTGATTAAATGAGTACATTGGAAACAAAAGAAAGCATGATAATCTGATAATCTGATTGCACTGAGCAAGAGTCCCCACTGAGTTGGATCAATCTACGTAGAATGAAAGTTTCATTGGGAATGAGCCCTTATACTAAATAATAGAGTTTGTACTGTCCTCAATAAAATCATTTGTCTTCTTATAACTATTATTTTTGTAGTGAATACATTAATGCTGTACAAAGCATTGCCCAACCTGCTCTGAAATGCAACCTTTGAGAGCATAGTTCCCAATACATTATTGCTTACAATGTATATGTCAAGGCCAGACGCACTTAAAAACAAGCCAGAGGAAAACTAAGCATCAAACAATTTGATGTCATTATGTATAATATGCTTCTGGCACAGTTGATGTGATACAGAAATAATAGGATATATCAGACGTAATTTCAAATAGCAATATCTTGCTTCTGGGATGATCTTCTACAGGAAATTTAATCTTTCTATACTTTTATTTCTTCGTGATAACAGTTTCATCAACACCTATTGGCAGACCACTTGGAGGAAAGGCTACCAGAGGCAGACCAAAAGTAACTTTTTCTGGTACCATCATGAATGATACTGATATGAAAACAAATGAGATCCTTTCAATAATGAGAGAGAAACAACAATGGTCTAAACATATTGCTGCTGCTGCTGCCATTCTGCCCATGGGTAAAGGATGATGAAAATGATGTTGATGATGCTGTACGACAGATTNGAGGAAAGGCTACCAGAGGCAGACCAAAAGTAACTTTTTCTGGTACCATCATGAATGATACTGATATGAAAACAAATGAGATCCTTTCAATAATGAGAGAGAAACAACAATGGTCTAAACATATTGCTGCTGCTGCTGCCATTCTGCCCATGGGTAAAGGATGATGAAAATGATGTTGATGATGCTGTACGACAGATTGTGTGTGTGTGTGTGTGTGTGTGGGGGGGGGGTGGGGCAATAAACAAGTGCTTCCACCTTAGCTTCAAAGGTACCATTCTTTCTCTTCTCCCTCCAATAAAAACAATTTAACAGTCAAAATAAGACAAAACAGCAATTTTTTCAATCCTTGTGCCCAACATATCGTAAAACAACCATGTGTACAGCTTTTTTGCCTTGGTTTCCTAAGATATTTTATAAAGCCATTCACCCCTGCTCCCTCCCTCTATAGCAAAAATCCTGCATTTCCTTGTGATCTGTTGAAGACACCAAGTTGATGACAATCCCATTATCTTATTAGTAGAATTCCTACAGGGATATGAGTGTAATTAAGTTCATGTGGATTGACAGCAACTCAGCAGAAGATTTTTAGAGGGGGCCTATCGCGTGATCACGGCCCATATATTCTATGCATATGGGACATATTTGCTAATTATGAATCTTTATTGGCTGGCAAGACTGCAGTCCATGTCTCCAGATGCCAATGACAGCAATTTGCAACAATTCATAAGATTATTTACATTGTATTGGAAAGTTTTATATGTCTGGCAGCTGCCTTGTTAGGGCATTGGCGCCCTATTTTTTACCAAACCAATAAAAAATAGCTGTAGCATTAGATTGTCTAGCATTAACATGGAGTAAGTAATTATTGATAGTGCTACAAATCTATAAATGACACCATGCAGGATGCCCCATACTTCAAACATTCTCTCTTTACAATTCATTGACCTCTATTTATTTGATGATTTTGAAGGAGTATAGTACTAGTAGAGTACAGTAGAGAAGAGTAGAACAGAGCATATATAGTGGAAAGCAGATTTGAATGTTGTACAGTGGACTTTGACAGAGTAGATCACAGCTTTTAGGGTAAAGTAGAGTGCAACAGAGCATTACAGTAGAAAGCAAAGTAGTTCATAGTATATAGTAGAGCCCATGCAGCAGAGTGCAGTAGAACAAGCTGTAGGGTCAGTTTCCCAAAAGAGCTTAAGACCGAGAGTTTCACTTCTAATCATCATCATTATTATTATTATTATTATTATTATTATTATTATTATTATTATTATTATTATGTCACAATGGCCATCTGGTAAGACAGTTTTGACCTAAAACGGTTTGCATCATCTCGTGTGAGCACGCCCACAGGTCTGTCTATTATCAAAAACACCACATGCCGTATGGTGTGACAACGTCAAAGATGTTCACACTTGATATCTCAAAATACACACACTGCATCAGAATTCTGTCTGGCTTTTGCCAATTTTCTGTTCTTTTTTATGATATTTTTTCCTGTGGTGTAATTATTTGCTTTGATGCCCTTAATTGTTTCACAGACCAAGTCATCCATATCACTGACATGTGACAACGAAGTTCCAATGCACGTAGATCTAGGATTTCGCTTTACTATTGGGGCCCATGAAGAGTGTATAAAGTAGAGGATTAGAAAGGGAAATGCAAAAATTGATTTTTTAAAGCTACACTTAAATGGGAGAGGGGGGGTAAAGCTTTTAATTTTTAACTGCCAGCTACTTTGTATTTGTCAGAATCTCCAGCCAAATAATTTGTGCTAAACATAGTATTTTCCTTATGCCTTGGCATCAGTCATGGTAACCTTTAAGATAGTATAATCACCACCCAAATGCCTTTATGTGGGTGCTGGTTTATTTCTGTCTCAGTGCATGTCAAAATCCATGCATGTACATGAAGTAAGTTATCATTTACCATCATTCCAATATGTGTAATAAGTTCAAAGACTGGTATGCCACTGAAAATAATACTAGTCAAATTTCTGCACTGCATCTGAAATCTATTTCTTAACCTAAAAGCCAATTAAGAATAATCGTATCTCTGTTACTGACATTTTGGACATGGTATATACCATGGTGATGAGGGGAAAATGAGAATATTATTATTATTATTATTATCTTATTGTTTTTTATTATTATATTATTATTTTGCT